GTTAGATCTTAAGGAGTTTAGTGTGATACGTATCTAATGTGTGATTAATGTTTTAGACTATAGTGTTAAAAATTTTGGAAGCAGGTGGAAGAAGGTATTCAACAATATACAACAGAAAACATTTTTTTAAAGAGGTATGTAATTTTTGCCGCTAAAAGTGACTAAACATTGTATCTTCATCTTTTTTTCATTTCTTTAGAATTTGGTCATTTAGGTATAGACAATAAGAAAAAAATTAGTAAATTTCAAAATGAGTACAAATCATTGGTATTTTTTTTAGTTAATATTCTTCTTTGGATTTTAATTAAATCTAGCATTAAATTAAATCTAATCGAATTAAATTGTTTTATTCACGCATCCTGCAGCTCTGTTTTCTTTATTTACATGAACTTCTACTTCTGTTTCGAGCCTTTCGTAGCTAGATAATGTAAACCTACATACATATTTAAACTTCATCACTTGTTCTATTATTTCACCATTCAACTCCAATCTTAGTAGATTTGCTGTTATAATCACGCATTTCACCTTTTTTTGGGAAATTATGTTAAATTTTCTGGCGGTGATATTTCATTCCAATTGAAGTGTTTGAAGTTTAACGAATTCTAAGATCGGTTCCTCTTGGAACAGTTGGTAAAGTTCATGGTTATACCTGGATTTCTATACTCTGTTTTCGTTAATAGATCCAAATATCTTTATTATGACTTTTCTTTCAAATACTTTCGTTTCATATTTGTAAAGATTTTCGTCATCACAAATGTTCGCATCCATATCATACTATTGGTCTGATAAGAGTTTTGTAGACCCTGATTTTTGATCTCCAGTGTATGTTTTGGAGCGGAACACATAGGCGAGTGAAAAGCATTGTTCCCCTTTACTATTATTCTTTGAATTTCTAGTTTTTCTGTTTCATCTGTGTTTAATGTAACTCCCAGATATGTAAAACTTTCTACAGTTTCAATATCGTCCTCTAATTCAATTATGCGTTTTGTTTCCCTTAGCTGTTGCCTTTATTAGTTTTTTTTAAATACTTATTTCTAGCCTGGTCTCTTCTGCACCTGTTTTTAATAATGAATATATTTCTGTTTTCTAAAAGAAAGTAATTAAAAGAAAAGATTTGAAAAAGTATTCAGAGCAACCGCAATTGATTGCTGGAGATGGTCAAAGCGAATATCTATTATATAATTCACATTTCTATCTTCAATCCTGACCCCCCAGGGGGAGTGTAGTGGTCGACGTAATGTCGTGTATTGTCCGTCTCCAGAGATCTCTGTCTCTGGTCATTTCTTTTAATTCATGCATAGGTCTTTGGCATATTCCTGTAATTTGATCTAGCCATCTTGTTGGGGATCTTCCTCGTGATCTTCGGCCTTCTACCTTTCCTTGTATTATGAGTCTTTCCATGTTTTCTGTGTTTGCTCTCATAACATGCCCAAAATATTTTAATTGTTGGAGATGGACTTTACTAGAGAGTCGTTGGCTAACTTTTAGCTCTCTTAAAATTGAATTATTTGTTCTGCGGTCGGTCCAAGGAATTCGTAACATTCGTCTCCAACAGAACATTTCAGTGGCGTCTATCTTTCTTCTCTCCGATTGTCTCAGAGTCCAAGATTCACATCCGTAGGTCAGTATTGGGAATATTAAGCAGTTGATCAACCTCATCTTTATCGCTCTTGAAATTTGACAGTCCTTCCATATTTTGGTCATTTTTGCTGTGGCAACTTTTGCTAGATCAGATCTACGTTTAATCTCTTCTTGTAATGACCCTGTGTTTGTGATTAATGATCCCAGATATAAGTATGAGCTCACAACCTCAAACCGATCAATTGTGGTTATGTGTGGATGATTGTTGTGTAGTCTATCCACTATCATGATCTTTGTCTTTGATATGTTTAATTGCAGACCAAATATTTGACTTTCGTTTTCGATCAGTCGTATAAGTTCTATCAGCTCTGCTTGACTATTTGCAAGAAGGGCTGTGTCATCTGCGAAACGTAGGTTGTTTAGTTTATAACCATTTATTGAGATGCCCTTTTCCCATCCTTCAAGTGCTCTTCGCATAATATACTCCCCATATATGTTGAATAATTGTGGAGATAGTATACATCCTTGTCTGACACCCCGTTCTGGATGAAACTCGTTCGAAAGTGTGTCAAGTACTTTAACTGATCCAGTAGTGTGTTCATATAGTTCGGTTATAAGCGTAATTAGATGTTGTGGTACGCCTACTTCTTTTAGTATTCGCCATAAGTGTCTCCACTTGACCCTGTCGAACGCTTTACGGTAATCTATAAAACAGATGTATAGTGAGATGTTGAATTCCCTAGATTTCTCGATTATCTGTCTTATATTCAGCAGGTGTTCTCGAGTGCCTCTACCTTTGGTAAATCCAGTTTGCTCTTGTGGAATTTCTCTTTGAAGGAATGTTTTCAGTCTCTCATTGATTATATGTAGCATTATCTTGCTGGCATGGGATATAAGAGAGATAGTTCTATAATTGTCGCATTTATGGAAGCTGCCTTTTTTATGTATGGTCGTTATTGTAGATTTTGTCCAGTCTTCAGGCCATTGTTTGGAATGCCATATTTGGTTACAGAGTAGATGAAGTAACTTTACGCCAGTTTCTTCTGTGGCTTTAAGCATTTCTGCTGTTATCATATCTGGACCTGGTGCTTTGTTATATTTGAGCTTGTTGATAGCCTGTCTTACTTCATTTTCGAGTATATCAGGTTCTTCTTCCACCTCGTCAGAGATTTGGCTAACAAGCTCTTGGCGTTGATCATCTTTATATAGGTCCCTGCAATACGATCTCCATGTCTCTGCTATGTGTTCTCTGTTTGTTTTTAGGGTTCCAGTGTTATCTTCAATGGCCCAAGTTCTGGCTCCGAAGTCTCTTGTCAGGTAGCGTATTTTTCTAAATAGATCTCTCGGCTGATTATTCTGACCATGTCTCTCAATTTCTTTGCATATACTTTGATAGTACTGTTTTTTGTCGGCCTTACATCTTTGTTTTATTTCTTTATTGAGGTTTCTTAAACTAGCTTTTTCCCTTTCACTATGTACACCACTTTTACAAAGATTTCTTCTATTCTCAATTATTTTAAGAGTTTCATCTGTTATCCAGTGTTTCCGTTTCACCGGATTATTTTTCTTTGAGCGATCCACTGGTGTTGTTACGCAATGTTTAACAGTCTCCCATATTTCTTGTGATGTTCCGTTACGAATAGAGGGCATACTTTTCTGTACTTCCTGTAGAAGGTCTTCTTTCTTTCTCAGTTCTATCCTCTTTATCTCTCTTTGTTTGTTGGGTGCTTTAAGTTTAAGCATTACTTTAGCTACGAGGAGAGTATGATCGGATCCGCATATCGCCCCTGGATATGATCTGACTGTTTGAATGGACGATCTCCAGCGAATATTGGTGAGGACGTAATCTATTTGATTTCTAAATCTATCTCCAGGATTTTTCCAGGTATAAAGTCGACGTACATGGTGTTTAAATCGAGTATTCATGATGGAGTAGTTGTTTGTGATAGCAAATTCGATTAAACGGTCTCCTCTTTCGTTTCTCTGCCCTATGCCAAACTTTCCCAGTACATTCTTTAAGTCGTCATTTTGTGTAGTGTTGCCAACTTTTGCATTAAAGTCGCCACATATTATAGTAAGTTCTTTATTTGGTATGTTAGCGATTGTGGTCTCCAGTTTTTCGTAGAACTCCTTGATCTTTATATCATCTGATGTGCTGGTTGGCGCGTAAACTTGTATGATATTAAGTTTATGTGGTTTGCCATCCAGTTTAATGAGTATTATCCTATCGTTCACAGCTTTAAATTCGACAACTGACTTTTGTAATCTTGGTGAGACCAGAATCGCAACACCTGTATAATTCACATATTCGATAAAATACTGCATAAGGAATACAAAGCTGATCTAATTGGCCATGTAAGACTACTAGAAGATGGCCAAGGAAAACCTGTAGGGAAGGAATCGATAAGGAAACACTTGGAGGATGATCTATATGAAATGATATAATGAGACGGATAACTTTAAAAACTGAGGACAATAACGTTGTGTAATTTACTAATCTGATTTCATTGCTACTTGTTACAAAGTATGTGGTATTTAGTGTGCTATGAGTGACATTTCAAACGCGTATATTATATATTTAATTTATTTAAGATCTATAATTTAAATGTATTGTTTATTCTACCAAATGCACTATAAACAGTTTTTCACGTGTGTACTAGATGCATATTTGACAAGTATTAAGCAACTACAAGTTATCTAAAAACTCAAAATTAAAAATAAATCAGTACAGCGTCAGTAATTCTAGAACATTACTTTTATAAACGAAAAATAAACTGACAAAATTGTATTATACCTTGTTTGGAAATAAAGGATAGTATAGTTTTAATTTCAATTTAATTTACTGTTTGTATTTGAGAACGATTTCCGAATTGGAAATTGAAACGTCAATAAACGTATTTTTATCTTTAATTGTGGCTTATTCCCAGTTATAAATAGTAATTAGTATAGTTTTGGGACAGAAGATTACAACAGTTTATATACGGGAACTATATAAGAGAGATTGATTGATTCTCTCCTGTTGCTGACAAAGAATGTAGAGCGTAGAACCATTTTAATTAATATTGAACTGTTTGTCCTTGTTTTAGTGTAGTGTTTTGTACAATTTTATGTTAAAATTCATGTTTATCACATTCTACGCTTGCTGGATAGCCCCAATTTGACGAAATGCCCCTGAAGATGCTATAGTTAGTGAAAGTACTTGGGCAAGATTTAATTGTTAAAATTGTGCTCGATATTTGCCTTTCATTTTTCAAAGTTCATTTATTCGAGCATTCAACCTTATATCAAGATAATTTATTATTAAAAAAAAATTTGCAATATCTCGGATTCTAATGGATTGATTTAAATTTTTTAAAATTTGTATTTTTAATACAAACAAAATATAATGCATATACACAAATAAATTGTTAATAACAAATTCCTGCCCAAAATCCGGACCATCATGTTGAAGATTCGGATTTAGCAAATCGCTTTTGCCCCTAGAAATGGAATGGAAATGAAAATAAAATTCATGCACTACACACTATTAGGGGTTGTCATAGGCTCTCAAAAAAAATTGGTCAAAAAAATTTTTTTTGATCATCAAAATTTCTTTCAGTTTGTGAGTATATCTTTTAAAAACATCATCATCATCATCATTCATCGATGTTATCAATGAACCTTGTTCTGGTCTTGCTCTTTTTCTCTTGTTAATGGATCTATCAAGGAGCATTTTTCTAGCTGGGTCATTTTGTTCCATCCGCATTACATGCCCTGTCCACCTCAGACGTCCTATCATAATACGTTTTACGATATCTTGTTCCTGGTATATTCTATAAAGTTCGGGATTATGTATTACGGGTGATGGGTTTCTGGCTAGTTTTTTAACTGCATTTTTAACTACGAGAATCATTGGTATTTCCTCTTCCCTCTCGTCTGTTCCCTTACCTTATCTCTTTCGTCTTCCAGGTTTTCTTATTCTTCCTCTACCTATATTAAGTGCCTGGTTAAAGTTTTCCACCATCTATTCAATACATCTTTCCTAGTGACTAGTTAAAGCTGTAAAAACATCCGTTTGTTTAATATAATGTTTTGTATCTCTTAAAGTTATGCCAATTTAAACACCCAAACAATACGTTTGGAAAGAATTTTAAATCCAAAAACAATAATGCGTAAAAACTGTGTACTCGTACGTTAATATAAATATGTATATTTATCATTTGTTTCTTATCAGGGCCAACTTTTTTGCTCACCTAAACTTTAAATAAATATTTTTACTGTAAAATTCGGCCATGAAGATATTCATTTATGTTAGTTTCAGCTCTTATAGGTACAAGAACCAACAACCATGTTGTAAACACGATCATACTTTTGAGTTACAACACCAAGAAAAATAGTAGTTTAAAAGTGCATTTATAGAAAAATTCACCATGGATAATAAACCTGTTGGATCGAATGATGACTCTTATACAGAGGACGAGAAAGCAATGATGGATAAAAAGTTTTCCGAAGACAGTTTGCCGTTCAAGATAGAAATTGAAGAGAAAAAGCGGGATACATTTTTTTTGTTATTTATGGTCATAGCAGGTAAGTTTTTTAGTTAATTTAACTTTTTTTAATAATAAATGAGTCGTTTTAATTTGTTTATTTGGTCAAAATTTTGTCTTGCACTCCTAAATAATTAGGTAACCTCCTAGAAGGTCCAACTTTTTTAAGTTTTATTTCTTTACGGGCGTATTTCTCTGCTCTGTTTGTTCTCTAAGATCCATTTAAAAACTAGGAACAAATTTTAAAATTAGTTTTCTGCTTGTTTGATGGTGATTTCTCAAAACACATCTAAATTTACACAAGAGAAGTATATTTAAAACTCAAAATATTGTGGAAACAACGTGTAATATTGTTTGGAACCAACTATTTAGTAGCATTCATCCGATTTAAACCATAGGATTTTTGAATATCTGCTCGAATTTTATGAGGGAAAAGACCAGGGTCCAAATTATATTTTGAACGCTTGAATAGTCGAACAAAACTACCTACCAAATACATAAATTTAAAAAGTAGTGATATTGATGTTAACGGGGGACATATAATTATGTATACAGGGTGGTCCTTAAGTAATTATACAAAAAGACACCATAGATTCTAGACTTTAAAATATTACGATTTAAGTTAACTTACTTTAATAAAATGTTGATATTAAGACAGTTACAGGGTGTTAAAGTGGTAATTGAAAATTTTATTTTTCGCTATAACTTTCACATGTGTAAACATTTATGAATCAAAATTTACAATTAGATGCCTTTAAGTAGGAGAAATAATTTTATACATTCTTTAATGTAGCTAATTAGAGGGCGTCACATATGCCACATATGGGGCATAATTTTGCACTTAACTTTTTTGCTCTTTAAGTTAGCGCTAGTTGTGATAAAAAATATTAAAGATACAATATTTTTACAAAGAAAAGATAATGACTTTAAAATTCAGACGTTTTCGAGATAATTGCATTTTTTTAGTCAACTGCATAATAATTCTTAGTTCTGATATTGGTGCGGTAAAGCACTGAATACCTGTAGATAAGCATAATTAATAGTTTGTTCTTATTAAAACAACTTAAATATGATAATGTAACATCACAAAATGCTTTATTATGTCTGCTAAATGTTTTATTGGAGAGAACCCTCTAAAAGCTTCTATCTTCTTCTTTAGGTGACGTGTTCGTATTCAGAAGTTGGCCACCATCATATGTACAGTTTCTGTTCTCTATCGTTTTTATAAGTTTCTATACTGGCGTTGTATTACTTATTTTTTCTATTGTAAAATGCTTAGGCGTTAAAACAAATGTTGTTTAGTGTGGAAAATTTGTATTTTTCGTTATTTTTTCATTTTTTTTTACAGAATCTTTCCTATTTTTGCAATATCGAAATATTCTAATAGTTACTACAACAATTTTATAAGGTTGTGTAAATAATAAAACATGTTGTTTTATAAAAATAGCAATCAAATGCATGTATCAATAAAGTAAGGTTAGAATTTCTTTAATTTATACTTTTAAACTATATTTCATAGAAATAGAACACTGAATTGTAATGATATTACCGCAAAAACACTAAACTTAAAAGAGAAAGCAGCAGAGGAAGCAAAATGTTAATTTTATAGAAATTAAAAAGTTTTGAGATTGGGCATTCTAACTTGTGTTTGGAAAGTAATAAGTAAATTAATAACAACAATATGGCCGCCGTGACGTCACACTCCGGCAGTTCATTCGTTTTAAGACATCATATATTTTTTTTTTTTTTTTTATTTAAATTAACGTGCATGTGACATCTATGGTCATTAGCACGAGTTACGATTTACATGGTAATATAATATAAATTACAAAATAAAATGTAGTTAACATCTAACATACAGAGAAAATAATAAAAACTTGTAATATAACATTTATATTTTGTTGAGCAGTTGACTATTCTCGAGGAATTTGATGACCTTGTTGATTTCGTCTGTGTTGTTTAGGACCTCTTTGAAGTTAGTACTGATATTGAGCTGTTGGCGTATTTTGGCATATAAAGGGCATTCGATAAGTATATGCCTGATTCGGAGAGTCGTATTGCAGTGTTGACATTTTGGTTGTGGAGATGATGTCATCAGGTAGCCATGAGTTAGACGGGTATGTCCAATACGCAGTCTCCGTATGATTGCCATATTTTTTCGAGATAAACTGGGATAGGTAAGACGGTTCACTGTAGGTTTGATTTCATGCAGCGCTGAGGTAACATTATTCCAGTGAATCTGCCACGTAGATAAATTAAGCTTCTTTAGTCTGGCTTTCAGATCATTACAAATTTGTATGTTTATAATGGTGTTCGTGGATGATGCGGCTTTTTTTGGCAAGGCAATCAGCTTTTTCGTTACCACTAATACCAACATGGGATGGTACCCATATCAGAGTGATAGTTATATTTTGTTTTATAAGAAGCTGATATATGTCATGAATATCTTGGACGATAGGATGTTTGGTGGATATAGCATTAATGGAGTGTATAGATGAAAGCGAATCGGAGCATATGGCTATGTGTGTATTTGTATATCGTTGGGCATATTTAAAAGCTTGTAAGATAGCTAGTAGTTCACCAGTGTGGATACTACACCAAGGAGAGATTTTAGAGAGTTCGATAGGCTGTTGTACAGTGGTTACAGAATATCCAACCCCACCTTCAGTCTTCGACGCGTCAGTGTAAAGAACCATGTTATATTTATTTTTGTTTATAAGTTCTAGGAAGAGAATTCTTAATGTACTAATACTGGTATCTTCCTTGTTAAACTTGGTGAGTGAAATATCATGATATGGGAGTATGTTGGTCCAATAGGGATTATTGGAGAATGGTAGAGTTCTGGTTTCACACAAATTTATATCTTTTAGTAACGGTTGTAGAAGACTAGGAATAGGATGTATAATTAAGTTACATGGAGGGCTGTTTTGGGTATGATGTGATGATGTAAATAGATGATATACGGGATTGGACGGATTGGAAGAAATTGCAGCAGCATAGGAGAGAAGAAGGTTTTCTCGTCTAAGCCATAGAGGAGGTTCATTAGCTTCACAGTACAGACTTTCTGCCGGACTAGAACGGAATGCTCCAAGACATAAACGAATAGCTGTATTGTGAACTGTGTTCAGTGAATTTAATATTGATTTAGTACCAGACATATAGACGAAACATCCATAGTCTAGCTTAGAGCGGATAAGTGATCTGTAGACTTTCAGTAAAGTAGTTTCTTCCGCGCCCCAATGATAATGTGAGAGTGTTTTGAGTATATTTAACCTTTTTAGGCAAACTCCTTTAAGTTCCTGTATGTGTTGTTTCCAGGTTAATCTTGAATCAAATATCAGCCCTAATATTTTGCAATTATCAACAACCGGTAACTTGAAGTTGTTGATAGTGATTTCCGGATCAAAAGAACTCATTCTTCTGCTAAATTTAATAACTTTGGATTTAGAGTGGGAGAGGGTAAGTCCTAGAGAAGCTACTTTGTTTTGTAGGTCATTTACTCCTACTTGTAGAATTTTACTAGTAGTAGCGTTGGATTTACCATGACAGTACATTATTAGGTCATCGGCATATAATACGCATTTGATTGGTGGAGCTATATTTTCACTTAACTTGCTAATCGAAAGAATGAATAAGGATGTGCTTAAAACTGAACCTTGCGGAACTCCATCATATTGGATGTGTGGAGAAGAAAGGAAGTTATTGACAGAAACCCTGAACGATCTAGATGTTAGGAAGTTTTTGATAAATGCGTATATGTTGCCAGTAAGGTTACATTCAAAAAGTTTGTCAAGGATTGCATTTCTAGAGATGGTGTCAAATGCGCCTTCTATATCAAAGATAGTTGCTATCAAATCTTGCTTGCAATTTATTGCGTTGGAGATGTGGGTTTGGAGTATTACTAGATTATCTCTTGTGGAGCGCTGTCTTTGGTAGCCAGATTGTTCCTTTGGAATAATCTTATGTTTTTCAAAATACCACAAAAGACGTTTGTTAATCATTTTTTCCATTAGCTTACACATAGTGCATGTGAGAGAGATGGGCCTGTAAGATTGTGGAAACATAGTTGGCTGGTTTGGCTTGAGTATTGGTATAACTATAGATTTGCTCCATTGAGATGGAAATTTATGGGAACTCCAGATTATATTGTATAAATTAAGGAGTTTTTTAAGACTATAATTAGACAAGTGCTTTAGGAATGCATAAGGAATATCATCGGGTCCAGCTGCAGTGTTTCTACTATTAGCTAAGGCAGATATTAGCTCATGCATAGTGAAAGGAGAATTAAGGGATCTACTATGTTCAGATGATATCAGATGATTTCTGTGTGAATATAAGTCATGATGAGACAAAGCAATATTATTGGTTTTATTTCTGAACTTGTCTTCGAAATGTTTGGCAAAGGCGTTAGGAATAAGTTCGTGTGAAGCGATCTCTATACCATTTGTAATTAAACGAGTAATTTTATTATTAGTTTTGTGACCTTGAATTTGTCGTATTTTTTTCCAAATTTGGCTAGGATTGGAGTTTTCGTTGATAGATGATACGTAATCTTGCCAGGATGATTTTTTACTTTTTTTGACTACGTGTTTGGCCTTGGCTTTGAATTTTTTGTAATTTATTAGATTTTCAAGGCTTCTGTTTTTTTGGTACTTATTTAAAGCTTTTTTGGATAGACGAATCGCCTCTTCACAAGAAGAGTTCCACCAAGGAACTACTTTATGATTTGGAGAGAATGATGTTTTGCCAATATGAGTCTTAGCAGCTGAAAGAATAGTGTCTGTTATTGACGTTAACAAATAGTCTACATCGTTTATTATTAGATGATCATGTGCGAGCAAGAGAGTGTCAACGGCTTTTGAATACTCTGGCCAGTTAGCTTTATTTAGGCGCCAATAGCTTTTGGCAGAGGCAGTCCCATTAGAATTGTTGGAAATTATTATAGGATAATGATTGCTATCAAAGAGATCGTCAGCTGTTTGCCAGGTTAAAAAAGGTGCAGATTTAGGGTCACTAATACTAAGATCTATAGCAGAGAAA